CCCCCTCCCCCATCATTTTTCTAATGGGTCCATCCCTAATTACGCTTTCCGAAAGTCGAACAACACCCCCAAGTGCATGGATCACGCTATCCTGTTTGGAAAACCATTTGGTAATTGTTTTATAAAAATAACTGAGTAACTACAGTGAAATTTTGAAAATCCCGCGAATGCATTTTAATTCCTCGTGCAGGCGTGTTTCAAAGATAGACCTGCCACAATAGACCTTTATAAAAAGGTTGATGTCAGCAGGAGTGTGACGTAGTTTGTGGAGAAAATCCCGAAAGCTCAGAGTTGTTTATTTGTTTTGAGTTTTTTATTTGTTTTGAGTTTTTTAAAAGCCAAAAGAAGCCAGTATTATCGTAAGTTTGAAGTAAATTTTTCTATATATATGCCAAATGACTTTTCATATTTGTCGTAGTTTAAATTTTATTTGTTTTTATGTTTAATAGATTGTACATTATTTTACTGTCAACATTCAGCAAATTCTTCGCTCGGTTTGTTTACATATTTCGTTGCTAAAAAGTATCATTTTTATTTTTTGTTTCTCAAATTTATCAGTCTATTAAAACCATCAGAATGGCCCCAATCAAGCTGTGGACAGCAATACACAGGCTTAGTGATCGTGCAAAGAGGTATATAAGTGAAGTTAGACTCTGAGTGCATCTTGTGTGATTCGTATTAATTTTATCGATATAGTTGACAGAAAAGGACATACCCAGGTCACAAATTGGCAAGGATATTGAAGCGACCAAAAAAACTTAAAATGTACATTTTCAAAATATCTAAAATCATTCTAAATTATCATGTTATAGAGTAAGACAAAACCTTGATAGAAAATTAAAGATTGTTGACCCAGAGCCGAAAAGTGTTATACACGATTGATAAAAGTTACTTGTCATGTATGTTCACTTCAACTATATCGATAAAAATAATAGACTTATGTCTAACTTCACTTAATATGTACGAGGGTACCTAAATATTGAGTCCGGATTCGAGCCAGGACTCGAACCAACAATGCGAAAAGTTTAAGGAAATTTAACTGAATCTGAGGAATTGTTTATCAATAACCTAAGGAATGTTTGGCAAATGGGAAGTGAACCCCAGGGTTCAGAACTCAGCTCTGTTAACCGGGTTGAAATTTTTTGCAAATACATGGACGATTTCAACCCCGGGGTTAAAACGTTATACTATACGTTCTCGGCATCGATTCGCGGAGGTAAAAAGCCTTTATTTTAATTGTTTTCTTGTAATAAATAGTCACTACCACACATACTCGAATAACTCATGATAATTTCAGCCCTGGGTTGAAACGATTACATGGCAAAATATTCAACCCAGGGCTGAGTTCAACTCAACCCCAGGGTTGAAATTTCAACCCTGGTAGCTGAAACAGGGTTGAAATTTCAACCCCGGGGTTGAACTCAGCCCTGGGTTGAAAATTTTGTCATGTAATCGCGTTTGATTTTGATAGAGTATTGTATTACAGACAGGGCTGAAATTTCAACCTGGTAAACAGTGCAGAGTTCAACCCCGGGGTTGCAACCTTGTACCCAGGGTCTTTCCTCTAGGGGAGCAAAGACCCTGGTAGACGTTGGTCACATGATCTGCTAAAATCTAGCAGATTTTTAATTGGCAATCAAAGATCAGGTCAATAAACATTTGATATTTGGATAATTTTGATAGTTTAATTTATAATTTGCATTTTGTATGATTGGCGTAAAGAAAAACAAGATAGTTAATTAGAAATCTGCTAGATTTTAGCAGGTCACGTGACCAGCGGCTACCAGGGTCTTTGCTCCCCAAGAGGAAAGACCCTGGGGTACGAGGTTGTAGAAAATGCTCCATGTAATCGGCCCCTAACTGTAACGGTTATTAGCGTCGGAAGACAGTGAATGAAACAATAGTCAATACCATTGTTGTTGTTTGTCTTTGATATATTGATATCACAAATATCGATATCCAAAAAAGGGAAATATCCGGCCAGTATTTTATCAAACTAAAACAGTTGGTATTGCCCATCACTAGCAGTTTCTCGCTCTTTACAAAACAGATACTTGTTGCCGCTCATTGCCGCTTAGCATTCATCAAAGTATAGGATAATTCTCCCTGCCTTATTTTCCTGTAATAGACGCCAATATCACCAAACTGTATTATAGAAGAGCCGGCCACGCTGGCTAACTGTATTACCAAATACACCCCGGCTTTCGATAATTACACATACTTTTTGGTCTTGGAACCTCGCTCTCATTGGTAAACTTACACAAGGTGATTAGCATAATTATCGAAAGGTTGTAGTAGTTTGCTAGTAGTAGAACATTTAGCTAGCCTGCGTAACATGTCTTATGAAACAAAACCATTGGGTAATGGCAATTCCCCGTATTTTCGCATTTTTTGATTGAGTCCTGGCTCGAATCCTGACTCGAGCAATAGTATATCTCCTTATGTACCTCTTTGCACGATCACTAAGCCTGTGTATTGATGTCTACAGCTTGATTGGGGCCATTCTGATTAGATTGATGAATTTGAGAAACAAAAAAGAAAACGAAATATGTGAACAAACCGAGCAAAGTATTTGGTGAATGTTGACAGTAAAATAATGTACATTCTAAGGGACCGTTCATTATTTATGACCGGGGGTGGGCTGGCAAAAAAGGGGGTGGGTCATGAGGTATTTTTGACCGAAAAAGGGGGGCACCTAAAAATATTGGTTCAGAAGGGGGGTGACCAGTTATTTAATATAGTGGTATTATAGTGGAGAAAAATTTGACATGTAACGATTATTGCTACCACAGGGAGCGAGCGAGGCAGCAAATTTAATTCATGTATAGCTAGCAAAATTCTCAATTTTAATGAACAGATAGACCCAAAATGCAATGCACAAATACCCAAAATGCAGTATGCGCAGCTAATATGATAATCTTTATAACTTTTGCTGTGAACTTGCCATAAATTTTTGTCATATTTCAATTATGTACATTTTAATAAAAAAAAGATAATTAACGAGTAAGCGATGTAGCAACATTACGTCCAGGGAAAGTTTGGCATATACTATATACATACTATATACTAGGTATTTTATACATGGTTTAATTTAACCCTACTCTTAACCCAGGACTGTAGCAACCCAATAATTTGATAATAATCATTCTTTTTGCAAAAACATGCAGACTTCTATCATTTAAATAATATAGTCTAGCTTTAAAATACTGACAATTGATTAATTTTACAGTCAAATCCGGTTTGCCTTTGACCTAAACATTGCTATAATGATATACAATTTTGCAATTTTGATTGACATTTGTGTCGTGCAATTTCCAACTGTCGAGGTAAATTGCTATTTGCTAATTGCAAATTTGCTGCAATTTTCATCTCACTCCAAGAGCAGACGGACAACAATTCAATACAATGTTTCAACTTTTAGTCAATTATTTAGGGATAGATACGCGAGTGTTTTTCTTAAAGAATACAGATTACTTGTCGAACGTATTAAATCTGCAATACCTTGTTTTAACGAATTGCACGACGACGAAATTTGAATTGCATATAAAGATGTTCATTCAGGATGTTTTATAAATATTCATGCAAATGTTGATGAACAATTTCACCTAACAGATACTTTCAACAACGTTGTTACAGTTGGAGCATACGATAGAATTACAGGTAAAATAAGACGTGCAAACGGGGCGTAACAAGGATTGTTATTGCGATTGTTTTCTTTCCACCCTTGAACTTCGGACAAATCTGCTGTAAAATTAAGTTGTTTGGGAAGGGCAGATGTACTCGTACTTGTATCATCATTTTCCGTGAAAGCAGCAATCGGTCTCACCTTGTTATTTACACTCGAACAAAACGTAGGTTCTTTGAGATCGTCGCGAATTAACGATTTCTTTCTAATAACAGTAATAAGTAACGGTGAATCACTTCTACAAACTTTCAAATTAATTCTATCGTATGCTCCAACTGTGAATACGTTGTTGAATGTATCTGTTAGGTGAAATTGTTCATCAACATTTGCATGAATATTTATGAAACATCCTGAATGAACATCTTTATATGCAATTCGAATTTCGTCGTCGTGCAATTCGTTAAAACAAGGTATTGCAGATTTAATACGTTCGACAAGTAATCTGTATTCTTTACCAGTAATAGGTTTTTCAAGAAAAACACTCGCGTATCTATCCCTAAATAATTGACTAAAAGTTGAAACATTGTATTGAATTGTTGTCCGTCTGCTCTTGGAGTGAGATAAAAATTGCGGCAAATTTGCAATTAGCAAATAGCAATTTACCTCGACAGTTGGAAATTGCACGACACAAATGTCAATCAAAATTGCAAAATTGTATATCATTATAGCAATGTTTAGGTCAAAAGTGAACCGGATTTGACTGTAAGCGGCTACATTATCCATGACAAACTGCAAAGAATTAAGATATTTCTCAT